AAACACTGTTTTGAACTGACTCTTGTTCAGTTCTCCACCTCCTGCACCACCTGGTGTTTGCCACCATCCGCAGTCCTGGGCTACATTTTCCTTTCTGACAACTCCTTGCAGATTCCTTCTTTGGCTTTAGCTGCCTCAGGCTTCTTCCTGGCTGTGGATCGTCGGATTCCTGGCTCGCTCAGGTGCTGCCTCCTCTGCTCCATGTCCTGTCTGGTCACCTTTCACTCCAGCAGCATTTCTTGTCAACCCTAGAAGACCCACCCCTTTTTTTCCTGACTACCTGCTCTGGTTTCTTTCTTTCAAAACCCAGGTGCCAACTTGCAAGTGATTCTAAGGAGCTTAAACCTTTTTCCCCTTTCTCTGTAACTGCCTCCATGCCTCAGCTGTGCACCTGGCAGTCAGACCATTGAAGAGAGAGAGAAAAAAATGACCTTGAAACAGCACATAACATTTTTCTGTTTCGGGACAGTTCATCCTTCCAAAAAAGCCCTCTAAATGACTCGGGAATGGAAAGATTGACTTTTTCCATTTTTAACTTTCCAAAATTTGGACAGCCTTCCTCAAGTGAAGCAACACTAGTTAGGGGATAATCTCATTACTAGGATTCTCTCTGGTAAATAATAGGGCTGAAGAGGCCCTCCAAATCTGCTGCTTGGAGTATCAAGGTATCAGGTCGTCTTGAAGGCTCAGCACACCCTCTTTGAAGGCCTCCCATGTTATCTAAGCATACTTGTGTGTGCACAGAAGGCACACCCAAGAAACTGTCAATAAATGTACTGGGTGGAACAGTCATATGTGCCCAAGCTTGTTCAGATGGTGTTGACTCCTTCACGTCTATGATAATTGTGATAAAAGTATGTCTGCATGCTCAGATGATGTGGGGAAGCTTTCAAGGGGCTATACCAAGCTTTGGATAAGTTGTGACATTTTGCTAGCTCTTGCAGACTGCCTCTTCAAATGGTTTGCAGCTCTTTGCCTGGTTTTATTTTTTCTGCTTTAAAGTTCTTATTTTATGACATTTTAAGTTTCCAATGCATGCTATCCCTTTGTGCTTTGCCCACTCAGTATTATTGGGCACCATTGTATAAATACAGCACCCTGGCAAGCAAATAAATCATCTGCTTTCAACTCATACTCAGTTCTCCAAGTCTTGTTTGTTTTATTGCCAAAATTACATGATCCTTGTCCAACAGTAGGGGCAGGCTGGACAAAGCCCCCCATGTTTGGTTGAAGTACAAACAATGTTCAAGGGGTGGAGGAAGGAAACAGGCTAAGAGGAAGAAACAGCTCATTGAAGACTGAGTTTATTCTGTGGGCATGAAATATGCCAGTTATGAAAAGCAAAAGATTTGGTGGACGTATTTCAAGATGGCCAAACTGCCTTTGCTGAGAGCCCCTCTAGAAACAGAGGAAAGTGCTGTGCTGAAATTTTCTTCTGCAATTTTTTTTCCATCCAGCTCAGTGGGGTAGAACAGAAATTACCTTTGATTCCCCCCACACCATCAGAAGAAAATATCTTGTATTTCCTTTAGCTAAGAAGATGGATGGAAGTATGAGAGTGTCCTGTCTTTCATTACCCAACCTGCAGCAGTCTGCAGCACCCTTGGCTTCTCAGATTTCAGATTTCATCAAGAGGAACACCTTCCATGCAGCTTTTTCAGTTCAGCGGCAGCCAGGGTGGCTGCAGAATGCTACTTAATAGAAAAAAGCGATCACCACATCTGCCTTACAACAACAAAGTTTGAAAACATAGAATCTTGGAAGCAATTTTAAACCATTCTGAATATAAAATATTAAAATGGAAGCCTGATTCATAGAGAATAGCCAGCTTGGTCTAGTGGTGAAGGCACCAGGCTAGAAACCAGGAGACAGTGATTTCTAGTCCTACTTTAGGCATGAAACTAGCTGGGTGACTTTGGGTGAGTCACTCTCTCTCATCCCGACTCACCTCACAGGGTTGTCATTGTGGAGAAAATAGGAGGAGGAAGGAGTATTAGGTATTTTTGCCGCCTTGAGTTATTTATAAAAATAATAAAGGTGGGATAAAAAAATCTAAAAAAAAATAAAAATCCACAATCTGTGTTCCAGAAAATGGGCAGATTTTGAATTCATATTGTGTGTTTCATGTGTGTTCCAGAAATGTAAAAAAAGTGGATGGGATCAAGTTATCTCTGCAAGAAGGGACACTGGCTAGATTGTAAACAGCCCATTCTCAAAGGTGCTTTTCTTCACAGCTGAGCTCTGATCCTGCATATGAGCTTGGCTGGAAATTAAGAGAAGGTTTGTGTGATCTCCAGTTCTGCCAGTCTTCATTCAGCCCTAAATCAGGCGATGGATTTGTTATTTAAGGTCTTAACTTGCAGGACTGGCCATGACTGCCAAGGTGAAGTAGCCCAGCCGTCACTACTACTTCTGGGTGGCTATTCTAAAGAGGTTAAGGGGTTCATGCACTACGGCATTCTGGTACCAGAGGGTGTTTGGGCACCCTTCTGGATTTTTACCTGCTGATGCAGCATCTCCTGTGTTCAGGCCTTTAATCCTTCCCATGTTACTAAAGAAACTGCAACCATTTCCTTTCTAAGAAGCTGCTGTTACAGTTGGGCAAGCTCTAACAATGGCAGCATTGTCTTTGGCCTCTCCTACATGGCCAGTCTTAATTCCTGGGAGACAGCTGGGTCAGAACACAATCAGCCACTCTTCTCTTTAATCAACTGGTTCCCAAGAATATCTAGAAAACTGGAACGCCACTCCTACATACCCACATTCACCAAATGACTGAATAAGTCAGGCAGCAATGTCTGGGTGGAAAGCAGTTGGATATGCAGTGATGATGAAGAAAAAATAGAGAAGGTAGTACTTCTGGTGCAGTAGCTTCTTCCAGTGTTGCAGATGGAGTTGGGAAAGCAGGTCACAGTATATTATGTGAGGAATCCAGCTTAAATATATCCCCCCCCCTCAATTAGGGAAATGATTTAAAACCGGCAATGCAGTCTCATACATTTTTACTCATTAAGTTCTGTGAAACTTAAGCCCAGGTAAAGGCCTGCAGGATCACTGTTCCAATTCTAAACATGCAGAGTTCAGAATAAGCCCTCTGTATGTAGTGAGGCATAAAGACCAGACCCTGAAAAAAAGTAAATTTGTCCATCCCTTCTTCAAAACAAGTAAATTGTATCCAAATACTTAAGTATGCCTCCCTAGGTAGAAATCTGAAAATCTATGCAGGCATAGACTAAGACACCCTAATTCAGAAACAGGCAACCTGTTTTTCTGTCCATGTATTTTGGACGGTAATTATAATAATTCCTGACTATTTCGTATTCCGTCTGGGGCCAATAACAGTTGTAGTGCCAAACAACTGGAAAGGACCAGGGTGTCTGCCTAATTACTAGAGATGTCTGAAAATAGGATTTTTTTCTTTTCTTTTTTTAAAAAAAGCAGCCATAATTTGAAACAGAATGTGGTTCATAATACAGATTCCCTTCTCTAAATAGCACACGGAGTGTTGGATGTTCTGCTTCTTCTTCACATGCTTGAATAAGATTTGGATTTGGGAGAGAAGAGCCTTCCAGGAACATTAATCTATTCTCGAAGTATGCAAACCTCATTTATTCAAGTATAAATAAGACATGTGGGCTTCATTCACCCTGAAATTCACAATTGCTAATACAATTCCACAAATAAAAGCAGTTGAAATGTCATGCTCCAGCCTTCTATTTAAAAATTTGCTTGGCTGATCTTGAAAGAAGCTAAGCAGAGTTGGACTTAGTACCTGGATGGGAGATCACACAAGGCTAAGCTCGGGAAGAGCAAAAACCACCCTGAATAAGACAAATGGCAAAATGCTCCTTTTCACTGGTTACTATAGTTCGACAGGAATGCAATGCAGTATTTGTTGAGAAAAAGTAAAAAATCAATCATGTCCACAACTGGCTAGCACATTGTACTCTTAATGGCTCTACTTCAAGTTGGAGAGCAGTGACCAGGGCGATTCTGCATGAATCAGTCTTTGAATGACCACACTGTCATAAATGACCAGGATGCAGTTGACACAAAATTAGATCTAACACACAAACAGAATGAGAGTGCAATCTAATCTGGATGGATTGGAGGACTGGGCTGAGACAAACAAGATGCCCTTTAATATTTAGGGAGAAACAATGTAGGACGCATACAGTATACAAGATGGAGAATTCAAAGCTTGGAAACACTACATCTGAGAAGGATTTGGGTGTGGCCATTGATAGTAAGCTGAACATGAGTCAGTAGTGTGAGACAAGGGCTAATGCAGTTCTGGGCTGCATTAGAAAAAGCACTGTATCAAAGACGTGTGCAGTCATTATTCTTCATGATCACACTTGGATTTCTAGGTATGATTCTGGGCACCTCATTTCCAGAAGGATATTAACAGGTTGAAGAAGACTCAGGGTAGGACAAGAAAGATGATACAAGGACTTAAGGACATCCCCTATGAGGATAAGCTGAAGGAATTTGGGATGTTCAATCTGAAGAAGAATTAAGAGAGGCATGATACCTAAAAAGTACATAAAAGGAAGCTACAAGGAAGAGAGTCAAGAAGTGTTCTGCATGGCCACAGAAACTAGGATCAGAACTAATGGGTATAAGTTGCAGCCACTAGATTTCATTTAAATATAAGGAACAACTTCCTGTACAACAATCAATTCTAGAATACGCTACCTATGGAAGTTGTGGGTTCTCCATATCTGGAGGTTTTTAAGAAGATGCTGGACAGTCACCTCTCATGGATGTTTTAACCACTTTTCCTGCACTTTGCAGAGAGTTGGACTAGATCATCCTTGTGGTGCCTTATAACTATCATTTTATGATTTCAATCATGCCACCTTGGAAGGCTCTGGTATGCTAAAAACAAGGTTGAAGGTTGTGACTTGCCCATCCAGTGTTAAAAATAATCGAATTGTTACACATTCTGAATTATTTAAAAAATAATATTTTTAATACAGCAAACACAATCATGATCACAAACATAAAATTATTAGAGTATTGCAAGCAGTTAAGATAAAAACCAAATGGCAAATAGACAAGCCATCAAAAACAAAATCTAAAGAATACATAATAATCACAGCATAAACCAGCATAAAGAATAAAATCCAGAGCATTCTTAAAATATTAAATGAACCTCTGGTTAATGGATTTTCAAGTGGCCAACAAATCCAGCTGTTGTTGCTTTTATGCTGATGTCATCTGTGTTGGCAGGAAAGACGCTCTTTAATGTCCCAGCTATTTTAGTCACAATCCCATTGGATAACCTTTCTCTCCTTGTTTTTCCTGCTGTGGCTCTCAATTTCATTCTTCCCCTCATAACTGGTAAACACATCCTAGACCACTGTTTGCCATTCTTGTAACCTCCAGATATGTCAGGACTGCAATTCCCAGAATCTCCAGCAAGCAGTTGGTCATCATACCATTGGAAGTTGCCAGGATGAGGGAGGCTTAGCATAAAGAAAACACCTGCTTGCTATTTCCAGTTTTTATGCCTTGGGCACAGGACATATTTAACACTCCTGCACTGAGTTCAACAGAAGCCAATGTTGAAAAGCATTTCTGCAATGTTATTCATGGAATACATTTTGCTTCAGTGTTGTTTGTGCCTGTTGTAAGAATGGGAGATTGCGATATGGTGTTCTTAGAGGAATACAATACATATTAAAATTGGGTCAAAAATCCGTCACCCAGTTTTCTTCTTCCACAAAAGAGATCTCCTTTTTTATTACTTCATTCTTTAGAGTTTGACTTTTTGAATGTTATTGTTGAGAAGTGATGGAGGGTGTGGATCTTGCCAAGTTTCTGTTGCCCATCTGTCAATCATTCTGCAGTCTCCTTGGCTGCCCCACTTATTCAGCTGAAAAAGCCCCATGGGAGGTGTTCCTCATGATATCATCACTTGGACTTGAACTGATACATGAGAAGGCAGGGAAGCTGTAGACTGTTGAACAGAGATGGTTGTAAAATGAAAGATACTCAACTGCTTACTCCAGCTACTTCATAACTTAACTAAATGCAAGGATCACATGCCCCATCACAAAAATGTCCCTGATATTTTCTTTTCCTTCCCGGGCTGAGGTGGGGAGCGAACATATGCAATTTCTTATCCATCAAACTTTCTTTCAAGTCCATTACGCTGAATGAAAAAGATTACAAATACAAACATAAAATTTGAGTAGCGCTAAACAAACTGTGTCTGAGAGACATCCCAAAGGTGTACTTTGCTCTGAAGCTGGTAGCACAAGTTTGCATTTTCTTGTGCAGAGAGAGGCACGTTAGGAAGATGAGAAAACACTGTACCCGAACTGAGTCTTTGCTCTTCTGAGTCTTTCCTCACTAGCATTTTGGAGCATCACCAAAACAGCCTAGCAACTCCCTGCTTTAGCTCAGTCCCCATGATACTGGCCTTGTTTCATTCCCAGGCCATGATTTATACAGTTTTATCCTGCAATTTCCTGTATTACAAAATACCCAGCAGCTTCAAAACACAGAGAAGATCAAAAGAGGCAGGCAATGAATTCTTATGCCAGCAGCTCTTTAGGTCATCACCCCAAGGGGAGGGTTCCAATAAGAGCCACTCGTAAAAAAGGCTTTAAGACCCAATCAGTAACCAGATCCAGATCAGCAGGAAAAGTTGGTGGTTGTTATTAATTAGACGTACAGCCTCTAAAAGCTCAGAGCAACTTAACAAGGAAATCTTCCTTCACTTTACCCTACAACATCAGTCCTTTATGTAATTTGGGCTGAGCGAAGTGTTTGACCCAGTGAGTTTCTATGGCTGAAGGTAGGCTGGTGTCTCCCCAGTCCTAGACCAATGCCTTAACTACTGCACAGTACCACACTTGCTCTCCTCTGCAACATGTGCGTAATGTGTTCCCCAACCACTGATTTCTATCTGTAACTTCCTCATCTCATATAAAGTTGCATGCAAAACACAGTTGTGTGCTCAGTTACTCATGTCTTAGTCAACTCCCATCTGGATTACTGCAACATGGTCTACATGGAGCTGCCCTTGAAGATCCAGAAGGTGGCAAATTGAGCAGTTATGGCCAAACAAAAGTCACAGTAATATGAAATGTGTTTAAAATCTAGCAGACATTTGGATGTTTTCATTTAATTAATTCTCTTTATGATTTCATATTCCTGAATTATTAATAATGCAAATCCATCATCACTGTAATAGGCAATACTGTGCTTCATAATTTTGATCTTTGCAAATTCCTACATGATCTTGTGTAGGTACAAGTTGACAAAGGAGAGCTATTGTGGTGTGTGATCTCAGAATTCCTATTTAGGTGTGTTTTTCCACTCACAACACAGAGTCCTCTGAAAGAAAAATGCATATTTAAATAAACATTTTTATTTTCCCATTCTAATGAAATTCCTTGAACATTTTCTGATTGTAGCAATCACTCTTTGTCCCATTACTGTTCATTAAACTTTTTTGCTTTTATTTTTCTCATTCACACCACACGGTGGTGCTAAAGCAACACAGTAGCCTAAATTTGCATCTTACTTTTCTCTCCCTAGTTTTTTTGATACTGAGAATAAACTTCCAAGGGTCACTTCCTACGCAGTTCATAATATCCATAGGTTTATAATATCCAACCACATACTCAGCCAAAGTGAGGCTTATATTTTTGTCCCACAGAACCCACACAAAATATACAACTTTGTGGGGACTTTGAAGTTCAAGGAATACTTTCAAAAGAACCATCCAAACTCAGATATACAGCCATCATCAACCTAACACATCCTGGAACAACATATAACTACAGATCATCTCACACCCCCAAATGCATTTAAAAAAAAAAATCACATGGATGCCCCCAGATGGACATTACACTGAATTGGATTTCTATGCTGAATGTTTTTGCCAAGAAGTTCAAGCCACAACTCCCCTTATGCAAAAATTGCAGCAGAGGAGAATGAGATGCCATCCAAGGCCTCAAGAAAAATGATGACATCATAATCAAACAAGCTGGCAAAGGAGAGCTAGTTGTCATTGTGAAGAAGATGGATTATGTCAAAGAAACCAAGAAACAACTGTCCAACACTAAGTTCTACCAACTTCCATCCTCAGATCTGAAAACCACTTATCAGAAAGTACTATGCAATCTGATGAAAGAATTTCCTAAGGATATGCAAAACTGTATTTACCTGGAGACATCCCAGGTGTCTTGACCAGGCGTCCTCTACCTAATTCCAAAGATACACAAAGCAAGCAATACAAGTCACCCTGTTGTCTCAAGCTTTGGGACCATCACCAGCTGAAATATCACTTTCCATGGAGTCTGTACTCAGATCTTTTGCTTCCAGCATTCCCTGCCATGTAAGAGACACTCCAGACTTCCTACAAAGACTGAAATCCACTGGCAACCTCCCTAACAACATTATTTTAGCTACCATGGATGTAAAGGCATTATACATCAACATCCCCCACAAACATGGGTGATCCCTTGCCTACAATATCAAACTGGGAGACTAAAATAGGAGAATATGCTGTGATGGCAATATTAACACTATACAGTATATCCACAATAGAAGTCTAACTAAATTTCAGTAAGAAGGACTTCCTTACATACAATATATCATAGAGCAAGGCAGATTTAGATGTCTAGAATATGATTGTTAGGACTCAAGTAGAAACTAGCAACAATTACAAATGTTAGATGCAAGCTTTGTATTTAAACTGTGGCCTGTGGTTAGAGATATAAATGGAAAGAAAGGACAGGATGCAATTTTCTTTGTTCTTTACCATGGTTTTCTTTTTAGCTTAATTGTATAGTCTTTTTGTATTACTTTGTTTCTTTTTTTTTTCTCCTTTTTCCTTTCTTTGTATTCCAATAATTTTTCTATATTCTTGTATTTTAATATTTCAATAATATATAGGTATGTTAAAAAATCTCCCACAAACATTGACTTCAAGCCTTCAGGAACATTATCACTGATGTTGACACAGCGTGCCTTGCCATTACACTGTATGACTTTGTATTTGCCCATAACTACCCCACCTTCGGCAACAACAGATACTGTACCTTATCAGAGAAGGGAAAAAGTAACAGAAAGTTCCCAGGAACACAGATGCTCTTCTACTATAAGTTATCATGATGTTTATTGCTGCATGCTTTTAAGTAGATAATGTATACACATTTCCAGTATGTACAGTGGAACCTCAGTTTACGAACTTAATTCGTTCCGTGACTCTGGTCGCACCCCGAATTGGTCGCAACCCGAAGGAAATTTCCCCATAAGGTTCA